GCACAGGCTGGGAAATGAGCAGCCAGCCCGCAACAGCACACCCAATGGCCACTATCAGATACCCACAGCCAACACTGGCCAGAAGAACCAAACAGTCAAGCTTCAGAGAAATTGTAGCCAACACAGGAAGTGCCTGGGTCCCCACTACCTGCTGGTCCAGAAGAACCCAGGAAAATATCAAGACAAACAAGCAAAAGGCAGCCTCTGGACCCAAACCCAGGCAGAGCAAGTCCAGGAGATGTAAACACGGAAGATACTGGGAGTCGCGCATCTAAAGTTTCTGAAGTCATGGCAATTGAAGTAAAGAAACAACTTTACAAGGCTATAAAAGAAATTAGGACAGAAATACTATCTCAGGTAAAAGAAGAAATGAAAAACAATTAAAGAATTGCTAAGCATCTCTAAAGAAGACATAGATAGCTCAGGGATTTTGCTCAGTGGTATAAGTGCCTCCCTGGCAAGCGTGAGGTCATGAGTTTGATCCCCAGTACCCCGCAAAAAAACCTCAGTAAGACATAGATAAAACCAGAGAGGAGCATAGGAAAATGAGTGAAACCTTGAATGAACAATGTAAGAAAGATTTAGAATGCATGAAACAGATCCAAAGAGCTATTCAGGAAATTAAAAACTGCACTGAAAGCTGGCAAAATCAGCTGAAAGATACTGAAGATAGACTTTCAGACTTTGAAGATAGGTTTGCAGCTAGCAATTGCGAAAGGAAAGATCTCTTAAAAATAACAAGGAACCAGGAAATAACAATTCAACAGCTGCAACATGATGCAAAGAAAAATAATTTAAGAATAATGTGTCAGCCAAAAAGCAGGGATCAACACAAATGACCCAAAAAGCCTATTTATAGAAGCAATAGCAGAAAACCTCCCAAGCATGGGAAAAGGATGTGACATGCAGATAACTAAAGCAGAGAACTCCAGCTCGCCATAACCAAAATAAATCTACACCCAGACATATAATAATCAAGATCCTAGAAATGCAGCAAAAGGACAAAATACTAAAATCTGGTAAGAGAAAACAAAGAGATCACCTATAAAGGCAAACCTATCAGAATCATGACAGACTTCTCAACACAAACATCAAATGAAAAAGAGGTTGGAGTAAAGTATTTCAAGTCCTGAAAGAAAACAACTTTCAACCCAGATGGGTATACCCAACAAAACTATCTTTTAGAATTAATGGAGAAATAAAATATTTCCATGACAAAGAACAACTGAAGGAACTCATGATCACAAAACGAACCCTATAAAGAATACTGAAGCATATTCTCGAGAGAGATAAAAATGACCATGGCTCCAGAACAGTGGCAGAGGAGGATCACTGAGCGGGGCAGACAATGGAATGGAGGGGAAAAGTAGGCAGCCAATGGCAGGAAAATAGCATGGCAGAGATGTGGCACAGCATGTTGGCCATAACCATTAATGTAGATGGCCTCCATTCACCCATAAAAGGAAATACAGGCAGAGTGGATCAGGAGACAGGATCCATCAATATGTTCATACAAGAAACACATTTAACTCAAAAGAAAATTCACAGACTGAAAGTCAAAGGAGAGAAAACAGTGCTGTATGTGACAGAGAACCAGAAAAAACCCACAGAACAGATAAAGACATGGCACTTTTACACAATGGAGAGTTACTCAGCTATAAAGATATCCTCAAGGCTCTTGTAGGTAAGTGGATACAACTTGAAATCATGCTCATGGGTGAAATAGTTCAGAGTCACATGGGTGACAGCGCATTGTCTCCTTAATATAAAAAACTAAAGGAATTAGTGGGATCCAAATGCGCAACACATCCTGTGAAAGGGAAAGGGGAGAAAATGTCTAAAATTGAAAGGCAGTGGCCATTGTTAATCTATTAGCATGTTTTGGAACCCTGTATTGTTTTCATTGTTCTGCTTAGTTTGGTTTTATTCTGTTTTGTTTGATTTTATTATATTTGATGGCATGGATAGCTATTTCAAAGATAACAAAATATATTTTGGTAGTCATTATTGATTTCCAATCAATAATGTCTTGTTTTGAAGCCCTGTGTTGCTTTCATTGTTTCGTTTTGACTGGTTTTATTCTGTTCTCTTTTGTTTGATTTTATTATGCCTGATGGCGGGCAGTTATTTTGAAGATAACAAGAGGTATTATGGTAGCCATTATTGATTTCCTTTTATCTTATTTTTAAGTCCTGTATCATGTTGATTATTTTGTTTTGATTGACTGTATTGTTTTATTTCACTTGGTTTTATTCGCTTCAAAATAAAAAAATTAAAAAGGAGGAGGAAAAAGGAGAAGAAAAAGGAAGAGGAGGAAAAAGAGGAAGAGGAGGAGGAAAAAAATGGTAAGAATGATGGAATAAGAGTGGCCAAAGAAAAGGGGAGTACAGTGAGGGGAATTAAAAACAATATACCTTTTACTGTAATATGAATTTCTAAAATCTCAATGTTCACCTTCTATTTTTGATCACATCTCATAACTTTCCAAATTTTTATTAATATAAACTTATAAACTAACAAAATCCTCAAATATTTTTTTTATTTTTATTTTTATTTTTTAAGACTAGTCAAGTGCAGTAGTGAGAAGGGGGGAAAGAGTAGAACAAGGAGTTCAATCTGTACTGACTGTGAACAATCAATTGAGATAACTCACTACCTTCAGACCAGCCAATCCTCAAATATTTTGATGCTTTAGCTGTGTGTTTCCAGGTTGGATTTTCTATCTTCTGGGCTATGGTAGACTTGGTGACTCCTAGTCCTAACGAGGAATGAAGCAGGAGTGGTGTGGGACAAGAACACATTTGCACCCCTTATCTGGAAGGAGACGGTCACAGAACCTCCAAGTGAGGTACCACTAACTTTAGTAGGTAGGAGAAGGGTACTGCTTCCGCAGAGGAGAAGCTCAGCAGGGTTTATAATCTGCAGGTACTATGGTGCCTCTGAATCTATATAAAATGCTCTGTATTCTCAACATTTCATCTCTTCCTGTTACTAGTTAACTCTTACCTAAGAAATCTGATGTGACTATTAACTGAACTTAATTGTAGTTCAGCAACCTGCAGTGTCTGATCCTTGGCTACATTAGTCCTGTGGTTATAGAAAATCTTCTAGGGCAGTCACAGAAGGATCCTGTTTCTCTGAATGGGGCCTGTGATAAATTTTAAACTATCTGATTGTCCCCTTAAGCACTTCAATGTTACTTAAGTGTAGATGTACCATAGCTTTCACAGCCTCTGATGTTCCTTTATTAAGGATTCTAAACTTCTCCAATGAGTTCCTAACTCAGGCCCACAGTGAAGTGACAAAAAAGTTTCCAAGAAAGGTAGGACTGGCTTTAGCAGGACCTGACTAGCATAAGAGGCAGTCCTCCAGACCTCAGGTAAAGGAGGCAGTGAGGGCTCATCCAAGATAAGGACCTGGTTTCTCCAGCACAGGGTCATCAGTGTGGAGCAGGAGGTCCAGCACGCTCCTGGAGCACAAAAGACAGCCTTGTCTCACTGGCCCCCACATCTACCCATTGCATAGCCTTGCAGTGTCCCTAGAGAAGGGGTCAGCTCAGTTGCACTATGAAAACTGGCAGAATTTAATGTGACATCTGCACAGTGCAATCTTCTTTTAAATAACAGGCACCAATAAACATTTATGGTCAAGCAGCTCACTGCATTTTAAGGTGCAGCAGTTTAGCCATTACATTAATTTAAACATTTTGAAATCGAGTTTTCTAGGTGATACGTGAAGCATTTTTTTACAACTCAGTGAGTCCATTTGATTTCACCTTCTCAAGTGGTTGGAAGTGTAACATGTTTTAATGGAAACTGCAAATTTGCCAGTGTCCTTGGTTTAGGCTCTTTTAAATCTGCTATAATCATTTCTTTGGGCTGAAAATTCTTCTCTATTCGTGTATTCCTAACCTACAATCACTCTGAAGAGCACGATACAATTTCAATGCCTTAAAGTTCTAAATTAGAATATGAAATTTATTGTGTGGCTCCAGCACAGTGCAAATTTTTCCACAAATTTACCCAGAAAACTGATGCCCCTCAATAACCTCATTGAGAAGCCCCATCATTACTGTAGCTTTCTGAGTTGGAACAAAATGCACCCAAAGTTTCCTCTGACCTAGGACTTCTGGAGGAAGAATTTCAAGCAACAGCCTCTCAAGCCTCTTAATTATGGTGTGTACAAGCACTCAGCAAACAAAGCGCCCTTTCTCTAATAAGGCAGGCGCCATCACTTGCTTTCCTCAGGGCTATTCCCCAAGCACCACTAGGAAGATAAAAACACTCTGGTCCTTGTCTCAGGAACCTTCCCTGAGCAACAGGATAGACGATACCAATGAAGCAGTGTGTGCAGCAGACACAGGGACCACCAACTGATGAGGGAGGGAGGCTGAGTCCTGTTTTCACACCCAATGCACCCACAACTAAGTGTAACTGCAAGGCATCACTATTTCTCAAGTCCCAGATTTCTGAAAAATAAAATGATAGCTCTAATCACGCCCCCACCCCATAGTCTTAGGAGTTTGCTAAGAGGATAAGTCAATGGTGATAAGCAACTTAACATACTTTCAATATTAACAGATTAAATGGAACCCATGTGATGTTTAGTTATAAGCCACATTTGTGAATGTCTTAAAATCTGCAAGGGGCGCACAGAGTGTATCGATCTGGAGTAGACGTGGTGAATGAAAGAGATCACAGGGCCACCACCTAACATACAGGGGGACCACTTAGAATGTATCGATAAAGTATTTCATGCAGCTTTTGATTCTCTACCCTTATCAATAAGCCAAGGGCAACTCCTTTTCTGTTTACCTTCCAAAATTATCAGGAGATCAAAATCAAAACAGAACAGAGGTAAAAGCCCAGGATTAAGAAGGCAAAGAGGAAATGTGTGACAAACTATGAAGGTCTCAGTTACAAAGAAAAAACCAATGTAATTCAAGTGCTGCTACAACTGCAACAGCCACACCAAAGCTGGACAGGCTGGAGCCAAAGTACCTGATGGTGGTGCCTTGCAATCGGTCTATCTTCTTATTGAGTTCAGCAATGATGCTGTGGAGCTCTGTGATACGTTCCTCGTACCGAAGCGTCGTTCGCTCCTGGACATCTTCATGTTCTCTCATGAGATGGGACTGCTCACACTGGGGCCAAGAGAACAGGACAGACATGAAGATGAGTTGACAGATCTTTTCATCAAGGGTCCTACATTTTATAACTTCAAACCATCACTCTCTGTACACCGACTATGCCCAAAACAGAACACATTCCAGCTCATTGACCAGCGCCCCCAGGAGACAACAGGTTAACTTTGTGATGTGTGTGCAGGACGTCTGAGGTGCTGCTTTTCTAGTACTCAGTTCTCTTTTCTAGAACCAGTCCCTCGGCCACTGACTGCACACAGTCTCAAATAGCCTGCTTTCTCTTAGACAAGAGATGGGCAAGCGGCCCAAATTGGATCCCTCAGATATCTTCCTTGGGAATTTGAATCTTGAGCAAATATGAACCCAAGGTCACATGGTATGGATTTCTCAACTGCCTAGGACTGTGCCTTAGTTCCTACTGCTTATATATTACTTTATGGCTGTTTAGTTTCTCTTTTACCAACTCACTCCTTCCTTGTTAAAGTTTGCCAGCTATTTTTTTTCAACCAAACACCAACATACAACATGTCTTATCTTGTTGGATTATGTGTGAGTTTAATGCTTTCCAATATTCTTTCTTCCCAGACCATAAAACCCCAAAAGCCAGCACAAAGTGTTTTTGGAGTTTAACCCCAACCTGTAGCATAAGGCCTGGCTCACTGTGGGTGATCCAGAAGTGTAATGTAATGAATAAACTGCAACATGCAGACTATTTTGTAAAAACAATGACAAAAGAGGCTGAGGAGCTTTCTTTGCTCAGTGTTTGATGGACCAATAGGCAGCAGATGTTATAAAAACATTTTTGTAGACAGAGTTTAAACCTTAAGGAATCTATACTCTTTTTTCATTTGTCTCCACCCTCCTAAGCCGCCACTTATCACTGAGATGTTCATCTCCTTCACATAACAATACAGGGAGGGAGCAAGTCCTCTAGTTGTGTCCTTGTCTACCACCCTGAGCCCTAATTGATTTCCTGTCCACTTGAGGAATTTTAATTTCATTTCCAACAAAGTTTTTCTAAACATAGCTTTGCATTTTCAGGCCTGACAACAGGCAGGGAAATGACTTTTCATCCACTACTGTACCTCTAATGTCCTTCCCAACCCTAGATCTGCCAGATTTCCAAAGATGTAACTCAGGAAAGAAACAAGAAGTTTTCACAGGTAAGCAGAATGCTATACCCAGCCTAACTCAATACTAAAACAGCAGTACTCAACAGAAACATCTAACTAACACAAAGGTATGAATCACAGTGTGACTACAACTATGAAGGGGACCTTCAAAAGCAGCTTGACCAGTATACTTAATTTCCTAGGAGTTACTCAGGGCTCCAGAACCAAGATCAGAGCCAATAAGCTTGTAGCACGCTTATCATAACCTCTATCGGTAGGTTCGGTCAGAAAAATACTGCTGCGAACTGCTCTTTTTAGTAACAACCTGAAGCTCAAATAATCCCCATTCAAGTGCAAATACATGGAAATAAGTGAGGTGAGGATAAAGATGGACTAGAAGTAGGAGCTGCAAGTGGCACAGTGCATATTTAGCATGCATGCAGCCCTGGGTTCAATACCCAGCACCCAAAACAAAAGAGCCACATATATGTGAATGTTTTCCTAACACAGTACCAGGCCATGAACACTCACTCCACGTGTTTAGACCTTTGAAATCCACACTCTATCAAATTTTAAAGAAGCAAGAGAAGTTCACAAAATGACAGAATCTCAAAAAAGTTCCCAAACATTGCACTGGAGCACACCAACAATAGGAACTGTTCTCCATCCTCATAAAACACCTGTGAACTCTTACAACTGGTCTAACTCCCATCCTCAAACTGTAAGGTTGTCCTGTACACATGCACACACACTGGACACCAGGTCCAGATCTTTTAATGATGACAGGATGGTACCCCGTCTCTGACCTGGATTTCATGTCATGACTCCTTCATTGCTATGCTACTGGCTTCTCCTCTTTCATTTTCCATATTCAGTTCTTTAGAGATAGAGTTTTATGTGAAACGTTTCCCTTCTCAAATTCAGTGAGCTCCCTCTCTCCCTTAATCCCTTGCTTTTCCCCCCTTCTTTATGATGTTTACAGGTTAAACAACCACTAACAACAACAGCACAGGTTGTTACAGAAACTGCAAAATCTAATTAACAGTGAGGTGGTCCAGGTGTTTATAAAAGAAAATGACACAAGATAAATGGACAGGCACCAAAAGACAATGCTGGTGTCCCCATGCACTGCTCCAGGCTGCTCAACGAGAAAGCTCCCAGGTTCCAGAGACACCAGATAGAGAGCGAGAACTTGAGGCTGCGTGTTCCACCGCCTCTGCCCCAGCCTCTAACTGGAAAACCTACCTGCAGGGTACGTGTAGGAACAAGAGACAACAGGAAGCCTGATGATTCAGTAAGACCAACGAGCAAAAGAACTCACTCACCGTGTACACTGAGAATGCAAAGGTTCATTTGGGAGTAGTAACAACAATATACTAGGAAAACATTCTCTTAGCTGAGGGCAAACAGATCTAGCTTACACTCCTGTATTTTCCTTTTTTTTTAAATGGCAGAAAGCTCTGTAACTTAACAGTTCCTCTCGCAGCTGTGGCACAATTCTTCATTTCCCATACTGTCTAAGAGGCATTATGTAGCTGGGTGCCGCAGGGGAGGCGATCATGATGAAAAACTTCAAAGGGAGCTAGCTATATTCACAGCACCCATTTACTAAAAAAATCTCAGGCTTCTGGAGAACAAACACCAGGGCAGGAGTGGGTGCAGAGGAGATAGAGGGTAGAGGGGCACCCTGAGCTTCTTTCCCCAGTGAAGGCAGGGGCGCAACACTGGAAAAGTCACTATCAAATCACTCCTAAAGGCTAGGATGGTTCATTCCTACAAATCAACATCCTCTTCCAAACACACTGCACTTCTCTGTGTACATTTACCGTATTCAGCCACATGTTGAGTCAGTGATCTCAAAGCTCAGGGAAAGTGGCTCAAGTACCTCCAGGCTGTGGTGCAGGGAAAGCAGAGCAAATCCTACAGAAGCACAGAGCAGGAGGAGAGGAAGCCACAGGTTCTAACACAGCCTCGCTAAACGGCTCCCATGAAACTGCCCTTGCATCAGCTCCAGGAACACAGCACTTCAGTTCAGATAAGGTGCGAAGGGAGTGGCTGACAACAGGGCTGGACTCAGCCATTCTGTGCACAGGCTCCCCTCCCCTGCCCTGGGGACACCCCAAACAGGCTACAACGGCCTTCTGGTGTGAAACCCGATCCCACCACATTCTACAGTGGGTCCTGACCACTGCTCCCACCACCCAGGGCCATGGAAAGGGTGCCTGATTTCATGGGAACACAGGCCTTGGCCCAGCTCATGACTACACCTCCATTTCACAGCCTCCTATGAACGTGTGGTCAGAAAGCTACATTCAAAAAGGTAGCACAATGAGGCAAACTAAACAGGTAAAAGGCGGCATTACTTTTATGACTATGAGTTATTACTGCAGAAATTTGGAATTTAAAATTTTTGTATCTATTTCCTAAAACATCTATCATTCCTTTATAGTAAAAACAGGAAATTCTAGCATTTTGAAATGCACAGTACACTGCTGTTATCTGGTATGCCAAGTTTTACTTTTGTATAACTAAAACATAGTGACCACTGATCAACCTTTCCCCGCTCTTCCTCTTCTCATCCAAGCCCATGATAACCACAATTTATAAAAGGCTGCTCTTTCTGCAACGCAGCTTCACAGCACCTTCAGGCAAAACCATCTGGCTACAGACATGAGGGTTAACTTCTAGAGTCTCTATTCTGTTCCACTGGTCTATATGCCTGTCTTTCTGTCAGTGTCATGCTGTTCGGATGACTACAGCTTTGTACTGTATTTTCTACTTTCTATTCTTTTTTGTTTTGGTGATTCTACATAAATTTCACAACTATTATTCTAGTCTTGTGAAAAATGTCACTAGTATTTAGTAAGACTGCTTTGGGTACTATGGACACTTTAACAAGCTAATCAGGATCCTCCAATTCAGGAACATGGGATGTCTTTCCATTTCTTCCACCTCTGCTTCTTTCATCTGTGCTTTATAGTTTCACTGTGTAGATCTATTATGTCTTTGGTTCAATTTATTCCTCAGCATGTATATATGTGTATATTTATGTATTGGTAGCTATTGTAAATGGGACCGCTTTCCGGGATTTAAGTTCAGATAATTTGCTTTTGCTACTGATTTTTGTATCCTAAAATTCATTTGTTAAATTCATTTATTAGCTCTAACAGATTTTTTTGGTGGAATTTTTTGGCAGTATCTAAATATAATTTGACTTTTCCCTTTCCAGTTTGGATATTCCCCTTGCCTGTCTTTCTTTGAGTTTTCCTTTTTTGCTTATTTTTGAGATGAATATTTATCATGTTTCAGGCTGCTCCTGAACTCCTGTGCCTAAGTGCCCTCCCACTTCAGGCCCCTAAGTACTACAGCCATGCACACCGTACTGGGCTTTGGGAGTTATTTCTTCTTCTTGCTTGATTGCTCTAGCTAGGACTTCCAGTAACATGGTATGTAAAAGTGGAGAAGGTAGGTATCGCTGTCTTGTTCCAAACCTTAGAAAACTTTTAGCTATTCCTCATTCTGCATAACATGACTGCTAGCTCATTATAGTTGTGTATGTGTAATGTGGAGACACGTTCCTTCTACATCTAATTTCTTCAATGCTTTTGTCATGAAGAGATGTTTAACTTCATCAAGTGTCTTTACTGCACTAAGATAACTCCATGTTTTTGTTTTTGCAGTGCTAGGGATCAGACCTAGGGACTCACACATGCTATACAAGTACTCCACCACTGAGCTGTATACCCCCAGGCCCTGAACATATGGTTTTTATCTTTTCAATATACGGTTGGATTCAACTTTTTAGCATTTTGTTGAAGATGTTTGCACTTATCTTTATCAAGAATACTGGCTCGGGGTAATGCTGTCTTTGTAGAATGTGCTTGGAAG